CTCAATATTTACGAAAAAGTTATAGTTTAGTCCCAAGATTTTTTTTAATGAAAAAATGGCAAAAATTTGCAGTTTGACCATTTTTGACCGGTTGAAACCGGTAACAAATTAATGTGGGACTATTTCGTAAACTAACCCAAAAATTAGGACTTTTTTGTAAACAAAAAATATTATGACTTTTTCTGTAAACTAAAATATTATGACTTTTCTACAAACAAAACTCTTATTATTATTATTATTATTATTATTATTATTATTATTATTATTATTATTATTATTATTTTTTGTTGAACTTGTTATTATTAATATTGTTACTAATACAATAAATGCATTTAAATGAAAAAATAATATTAATGACATTGTTTAAGGGTGAAGGTGAAGGAGATGATGATGCTTTTAGCATTGAAATCGTGAATGTCTGCTCGTATATTTTTACTTTGTATATGGTCATTTCATATTTGTTATTATTGTTTTCAATTCAGAATATTAATACTTAACAATTTAAAAGAAGTTGTATATTTATAAAATTGTTTATAAATAGTTTAAGGTAGAAGGGTTTCTCACTTTGTATATAAAATTGTTTAAGGTAGAAGAATTATTTTTCCAAATCCAACAAATTCACTACAAACATCTACATAGGTAACCCAAATCAAAATTCAAAAGTGTTAATTACAATATTTTGTTTAATAAAAAGTAATATGACATGTTTTTTGGATTAAACTTTTGAATTTTGATTAATACTTTTGAATTTTTCCTATTACTTTTTATTAAACAAGATATTGTAATTAATAGTTTTGAATTTTGAAATGGGCTACCTATGTAGATGTTTGTAGTGTTTGTAGTGTATCTGTTGGATTTGGAAAGTAATCCTTCTACCTTAAACAATTTTATATACAAAGTGAGAAATCCTTCTACCTTAGACTATTTACAAACAATTTTACAAATATGCAACGTCTTTTAAATTGTTAAGTATTATTATTCTGAATTGACAACAATAATAACAAATGTAAAATGACCATATACAAAGTAAAAATATACAAGCAAACATTCATGATTTCAATGCTAAAAGCATTACCATCTCCTCTACCTCCACCCTTAAATAATGTCATTAGTATTGTTTTTTTCATTTAAATGTATTTACATGTATTAGTAACAATATTAATAATAACAAGTTCAAAAAATAGTATTCTTATTTATATTTTTAATAATAATAATAATAATAATAATAATAATAATAATAATAATAATAATAATAATAAGGCTTTTGTTTGTAGAAAAGTCTTAATAATTTGTTTACAGAAAAGTCCTAATATTTTTTGTTTACAGAAAAGTCTCGATATTTTGGGTTAGTTTACAAAATAGTCCCAAATTAATTTGTTACCGGTTTCAACCGATCAAAAAATTGTAAAACTGCAAATTTTTACCAGTTTTCAGGACTTTTTCGTTCAAAAAAAATCTTGGAACTAAAGTGTAACTTTTTTTGTAAATATTGGGACTTTTCTGAAGATTTCCCTAAATTGTATGCTTAAATTTTTATAGTTTAAGTATCGTTCATATATGAATATAACACGTAATAAAGTTTTCTTAAATAAAATATATTTTTTTTAGATCATCTTTCATCATATATTATATTTAGTATAAATAAAACGTGTATTAGTTGTCATCATATGTTATATTCATGTATGAATAAAATATTTATTAGATTTTTGTTACAGTTCATTTGTTATTAATATATGAATAAATATTATGTTAATAAAAGATAAAGTGTTTTGAAAATTTAAATTACTTATTCATATATTAATAACAAATGAACTATAACAACATTATGATAAATGTTTTCTTTATATATGAATATAATAACTTGTGAAGGAAAGCGAATACACGTTTTATTCATATGTAATATAACATGTAACAAGTGTTGATGTAAACAGTAAAGAGTTTATTATTTGTTATATTCATATATGAATGATATTTAAACTATAAAAAATAATAATAAATAAATAAATAGTCATACTTTATATTTTTAAGTGAATAATGAATATATTATAGTAAAAATCTGATTCATTTTTATTCAATTATAAATAACGATAGCTGAAAGTGTGTGTGTGTGTGTGTGTATATATATATATATATATATATGGTTAGGTTCATTTGAGATCACCTATATTTTGTGAGACCGTGAGATGCATTTTTTTATTTTTTTTATTTTTTTATTTTAATTCATGTACCGAAAATAATATTTAAAAAAAGATTTTTTTTGATTTTTCCATTTATTTTGCATTTTAAAATTATTTTTAGAATATATACAGTGTAATATTCTATTTAGAATATTTCACGTATTTTTCAAAAAAAATAGAATTTTTTTTTATTTTTTTTTATTTTTTTTAGTTAATTCAAGTTCCGAAAATAATATTTAAAAAAAGAATTTTCAGATTTTTCCATTTATTTTGCATTTTAAAATTATTTTATAGAATATGTCAGTATAATATTCTATTTAGAATATTTCATGTATTTTTCAAAAAAAAAAACGGAATTTTTTTTTTTTTTTTTATATTTTTTTTAGTTAATTCAAGTTCCGAAAATAATATTTAAAAAAAGAATTTTTGGATTTTTTTCATTTATTTTGCATTTTAAAATTATTTTTAGATTTGGTCTTACGGTCTAACAAAATTATAATGGTCTCAAATTAACCTGAACCTATATATATATATATATATATATATATATATATATATATATATATATATATATATATATATATATATATATATATAGAAAAGTTGAATAGAGAACCATAATTATTGATTCTTCAAGATACCAAATCTTTTTTTTAAGTTCTAGAGCTTATTCTTTATCGGAAAAAAAGAATCTAAAAATATCTAAATTCATATATTAACATTGTGAATGTGAAAAGTATTTTTCGTGTGAATCCGGATTCACATTGTGAATTTTCAAATATTTACATAATGAATTTGATGATTTTTTTTTTCGAATTTGATATCATTGGAAATATAATAAAAAGTTATGAATTTCTGTATTTTTAGTTTTTTTTATTTTTTTGATAAAAAATAAGTTGTAAAAGTTGAAAAAAAAGATTGGTTCCTTGGTTATATATATATATATATATATATATATATATATATATATATATATATTATATATATATAATCTTAAACTATATCATATCTATTTACAGAGAATAAAAAATTATGAATTTTAATATATTTAAACATGGCTCCTTAAAAATTAGGGTTAAGGTCATTTTTGGTCACTTAACTTTTTGTTTTGTGCTCATTTGGTTACTTAACTCTTTTTAAGTTTTAAAAGGTCATCAAACTTTTAACTTTTTACCTATTTAGTCACTTAACTTTTGGTTTGGTCACATTTAGTCACTTAACTTTTAGATTTGTGCTCATTTAGTCACCTAACTTTTAAAATTGTGCTCATTTAGTCACTAAAATTTTGAAAAAATTTAAAAGTTTAGTGACTAAATGTGACCAAACCAAAAGTTAAGTGACAAAATGAGCACAAAACCAAAAGTTTGTTGACCTTTTAAAACTTAAAAAGAGTTAAGTGACCAAATGAGCACAAAACCAAAAGTTAAGTGACCAAAAATGACCTAAACCCTAAAAAATTTTAAAAAATTAAAAAAAAAATTATGTTTTTGTACATATTAAGCTAATGAAAAAAATTATGAATTTTAATATATTTAAAATCATTTTGTGATAAACATGGCTCCTTAAAAATTAGGGTTAAGGTCATTTTTGGTCACTTAACTTTTTGTTTTGTGCTCATTTGGTTACTTAACTCTTTTTAAGTTTTAAAAGGTCATCAAACTTTTAACTTTTTACTTATTTAGTCACTTAACTTTTGGTTTAGTCACATTTAGTCACTTAACTTTTAGATTTGTGCTCATTTAATCACCTAACTTTTAAAATTGTGCTCATTTAGTCACTAAAATTTTGAAAAAATTTAAAAGTTTAGTGACTAAATGTGACCAAACCAAAAGTTAAGTGACAAAATGAGCACAAAACCAAAAGTTTGTTGACCTTTTAAAACTTAAAAAGAGTTAAGTGACCAAATGAGCACAAAACCAAAAGTTAAGTGACCAAAAATGACCTAAACCCTAAAAATTTTAAAAAAATTAAAAAAAATATATGTTTTTGTACATATTAAGCTAATTATTAACATAGTTTAACGAAACATATTTTGTTGGAAAAACTCATGTATTCATTTTTCATTTCCACCAGTATGATGGAAGCTTTTGCAGCAAAAATAATGTGTGGTTGAGAATAATTCATCTATTCTCAATGTTTTTTATTTTTTCAATTGAATCTCTCTCTCTCTCTCTCTATATATATATCTATATATATATATATATATATATATATATATATATATATATATATATAGAATTAGGTTCATGCGAAAATATAAATATCCTACGAAAACGCGAAAACATATTTTATCTTATGAAAATCAAACACATGTAATATAAAAAAATAAATTTATTAGCAATAAATTAAAGATAGTAAGTTTATATTGGATGGTGTTATTAAAAAATCGTAGGTTTTTAAATAAATTAGTTGGTTGTTTTTTTTTTGAAAAAAAATCAATTTTTTATAATTATTTTTTTTAATTGATTTTTTATTTTTTTCAACGAATTTATTAAAATACCTGCGATTTTTTTATAAAAAAAATTTTAAAATAAAATTGTAATCTCTAAGTTTTGTACTCTCTCTCTCTCTCTCTCTCTCTCTCTCTCTCTCTCTCTCTCTCTCTCTCTCTCTCTCTCTCTCTCTCTCTCTCTCTCTCTCTCTCTCTCTCTCTCTCTCTCTCTCTCTCTCTCTCTCTCTCTCTCTCTCTCTCTCTCTCTCTCTGTGTGTGTATATAGCAATTCTTGTATAAGCAATTTCTATAATTAATTGGCATCAAACTTAACTTCGGCCATAAACCAATCCATAAACCAATAACGAAATCATTTTGAAAAGTATAAATTATCAAAGAAGGATTACAAGAAAATTTTCCCAAAAAAAAGTATAAACTTCCGCCAGCCGCCTCCAACCACACGTATCAGGCCGAAGGTGAAGGGGGGCACCTCTTGGGTCTGCTGGTGATGGGCTTGACCTGGCTTGGGCCTTACCTAGTGGTCCGTTCATTTTGAGCTGCTGGCACATTGGGAAGGGAAGGGGGCATTTTGAGCTGCTGGCACATTGGGAAGGGAATGGGGCACCCCTTGGGCCTGCTGGTGTTGGGCTTGACATAGCTTGAGCCTCACCTAGTAGTCTGTCTACTGGTTGCTTGTGTGGTTCATTTTGGGCTGCTGGCACATTCGGAAAGCTGACAATGCCGTTGTGCCAAAGCAACTGAGCCAAAAAAGAGGCTTCATGTTTGGTTGAAACTTGAAACTGTATTATACGTTTGAATAAAACACAAGGTATTATATTTGATTTAATAATCCAACTGTTGCATTATATAGACAGACGATTTGTTATCTGATTAATTTATGTTTATTACAACAAATTTTTTATAGGTGTTATATTTACGAGATTAGCATATTAGAAAATAGGTGTAGAAACGATTGAGAATACCAACCTATCTTTTATAACCGACAAATGCTGCCTAACGTATTGTGCATCATTACGTTAGACCCTCCCTATCTATGCATTAACTGACTTGATAATATGGATACCAATATTCAGTTACCATGTGAGAAATTCAAGACTTTTGGTCACTATCTATCTAATAAACGTTCATAAAGTTATTAATCAATCTTACGACAGAAAAATACAATGCATCACCTCCAAAAGTTGTGATGTCCAATAAAGTTAAGTTGAGTTGATGGGTGATGAAAAACATTAAATAAACCGACACTACTTGTTGCTCTTGGATTTTTTCTTAGATGCTGCAATATACATCTCTGCATCATCGATGCTATCAGCCGATTTTCGATTTCCCAACTCCTTGGCTTTTTTCTGCAACAATTGCCAATAAATAGAATTTCCATTAAAATCAGGTGCTGTAGCAATTGATTTCATACATGGGAGTACTATTTGTTTGATTTGTTAGCAATGAAAATTGTATGTTTGATATTTGTTCTTGTTATGACAGAGACGATTAAAATTGCTTTTGTATTTGGATGATATTACTATATAAGCATCAAGCCTCGTGGATAGCATGAAAAGTAGTAGGTGATACATATTAATTACACACCTTCAAGGATGTAGTCATTGCAGCAATGTCTTCCTTGTCGTTTTTAATTTTATCATCCTCTTGTTTTCGGGCTTCCTGAATATCCAAAACAATATTTTAAATGAAACGGAAAGACATAAGAAAAAATGTGTAGAGGCTATTTATTAATGATGAGTGATATGACCTCTGGAGGCTTAAATGCTTCTTCCCGCTTCCTCTTGTTTTCAGCTATTTTTTCAGCCTGTTTTTCCTGTCTTTCTTGCCATTTCTTTGCAGACTTCTTTTTGTCACTTAAAAAGTATTCACCACTGTCTAGTTGCATGTCAATCTGAAAACAAAACAATATTATCATTTACTTTATTTGAATATTTGTTGTCTGTTGCATGCTTTGTGCTAACAGTAAGAATGAAAAAAAAAAATTGAAATTTTAGTCCCACTCAAAAGACGTAAATGCCCTCATCCTAATCATAAAAAAAATGGAAGTGTTGAAAATACCTAAACCGAATAAACCGCTTGAACCAAAAATAACCAATTATCGGAAACCTTAATTGGTTATATTTACATTACTTGGTTTAACCAAATACACCAATTAAGGTAACCTTTTTTCAGCGTTTTATTTGTAGAATTTAAACCCACAACAATCTGTTTCCAATTTGATTTTTCCATATTGCCTCACTTAAAGCTTATGGATTGGAATTTCATTAAAATATAATATGCATTTAATCGAATTCCCAATTCATTTAGTAAAACAGAACGAGTGGGAATTATATGATGTTTAAAAAAGATTAAATTAATATAATCTTTTCAGACAACAATGTCATAGAATATAACAAAAATAATAAATAACATAATCACCTTGCTTGGCTGTGGGGGTGGTGGGAAAGGTGTATATTCTTTCTTCTCTTTACTCTTAACCTTCTTTTGTTTCACATTTTTCCTAAAAAAAAAATCAAATAATCAAGCCAAGCATTATGTATGTACATGGATTGGATGGGTTCAGTATGATGTGCTTTTTTTTTCAAGAGTAAATTACACGAATAGTCCCTATGGTTTAAGGTAATGTGCATGTTTGGTCCCTAACTTATTTTTTTAACTCGGAAGGTCCCTATTGTTTGTTTTTGTTACACGCTTAGTCCCTGTCTTACCTAAAAAGACTATTTTGCCCCTGATTTTTTAATTTATTTAAATAAACACACTCGCAACCCCACCCCCCTCACCTTACCCTACCTATCCCATTATTTTTCCATATTCAAATAATAGTTTTTTTAGGTAAGACAGGGACCAAGCGCGTAACAAAAACAAATAAAAGGGACCAAACGCGTAACAAAAACAAACAGTAGGGACCTTCCGAGTTAAAAAAGTAAATTAGGGACCAAACGTGCAAATTACCCCAAACCATAGGGACCATTCGTGTAATTTACTCTTTTTTCAACAGTTATATATAAAATTTCAGAAAGAGACAATGAGTGTTTACTTTTTGAACTTGGGAAGAAACCGATCCCAATTCTCATTTGCAAGTTCTGGATTGCTTGCAAGATCTCTCCTCATCATCAGCACCTGTTAAACAACACACAAAACATTATTAGTGCATCGGATAATACCAAAAAAAAAAAAAAAAAAAAAAAAAAGTAACACTCACTTTGATGTTGTACAAGGGATGCATTTTATTTAACATGCATTCTTCTACTATCCTCCTTACTTGTTTCAATCCTTTAAATGAGCCCATTGAAGCCACCGAGTTTCCCTGTGCATCAACAAATAGAAAGAAATAAGGTTTCTAGGTTTTTTCTTTTTTAAGCCAACAAGTCATACAGTTATACCTGAACAAGAATATAGCAGCCTGTCAAAATCTCCAGTGCCTGCATTCCAAGTAAATTGTCAGAGGACATAAATGTAGAAAATACAAGTGTGTTGCTATTATGAATAAAGAAATATAGTTGTGTTGCTATAATGAGCAACAAATTACTATAAACATTCAGTTTTGAAAAGTAAAGTGACTTTAGTAACGATTTCAAAAGTCTTGTGGCCAAATTAAAAACGAAGTGAAAGTTACATTGTATTTAAACAAATAAAAGGATGAGTAAAATAAATCAGTTTTTATAGTAATGCACTTCCAACTTCCAAGAGATTGATTTTAAATGAAATGTACACCTTTAGAGTGGACGAATTGGGCCCCACCAGCCGCTGCCTTCGTTTCACAAATTTTTCCTGTAAACATCATCAGAGTTACTCGATAGCAATTTTTATCTACTTTTCCAAATTATATAATAATAAAAATAATAATAAATTATGGCACCTTATTTCGGACTAAACCTCCAATCTTGATGATGTCACATTGCATTTCATCGTTTAAAACCTTAATGGCCTGGAATTCGAAATTCCATTTTGTGACAAGTATATATCAAAAATTATCATTAAAAACTGTAATTTAGATTTTTATTCATATATATATAAAGGGAAAAGAGAAATGAAACTAACTTCCATCCAAACATCAGCTTAATGTGATGTGATGCTTACCTGAGGTGCAGGGACACTTCGTGACAAGAGTTTAATCAGATCCCTAGATTTCACTATGATATATGGATCTCTTGTCTTTCTAGTTGTGGAAACAGTCATCGACCCTTTCACCTAAAATCAGGAATTCTCATATCAACTAATATCAAAACAAATGTTTTGAGAATGCACAATCAAAATCATCTGATCACGAACCAAATCCAGCTCACATGAAATCCCATGTTCTTTCAGTGCACCTTTCACGATAGGCCAAGCTTCCTGCAAATACTTCTCTGCATAGACAACATCATTTGTGTTACTTTTTTTTTTCCTATTAAGATAAATGATATTTTAAAACCTCTTTTCCCTAAATTTCTCTTTTGGCTTAAACATGTATAGAAGAAACAGCCCCTCGTTCCACTAAGCTATACGGTGTTTCTTCTTTATTAATGCAAAAAGGACAACATAATAGAAATAATCATATAAATACCATTTTAAGTCTTATGTTTTACAAATTTACCCTCTAATAGTTTGTCCTTTCATTTCCCTAAGTGTGCACTCATTTTCGCAAGTATTATTCAGACATCATATAAACAGAAAACAATTAATGGGAGAGAAAAAAAATGTAAATAGGATAAGGAATTGTAGAAGATACTGCATTGTGAATACCACATCAATAAAGCAAGCTATTTGTAAGCCTAAACAAAATAGTTGTTGTAAGCAAAGGTGTCTAAATACATAGCATATATATGTATATGTATAGCAAATGCTGTGAGTACCTCTGTATTGAGGGAAGAGAGTAGAGAAAGAGCTGACTTCAAGTAAACCGCCTTCATTCCAAGAAGGGTCAAACTTTTCCACCTTCCAATGATCAACAGTCTCATCATCCCATGGCTTTGGCTTGTCATGCTTCCCCTTGTGTCTCTTTCCCTTCTCTGTTACTTCTTCCACATCCATAACTTTCAAATCTGATATTAAATGAAAAGATAATGTTATCTAATATTTAAATATCCATGCGCTTAAGTTGAATACCATTTAAGTTGTACTCACTTTCAAATATAGCTCAGCCTTGCTTCTTTTGAACTAAAGAAATCCCCAAGATTACTTTTGACATAAACAGGCGAAAGTTTAGGTGTAGTTTATAATGTTTTCTGATAAACTTCAATTGAATTGTATGCTTTCAAACTCTTGTTTCTTTAAGAAAATAGGGCAACAGAACAGATATGAATTTTCCTTTTAGCCAAAGAAAATGGTTCATCAAACATGAATTTTTATCAAATGCTCAACAAATATGACCTAAGAAACGGTGTCTTTTATGCATAACAGAAGCAACTATAAGAGAAGTCGTTATTTGAATTTTCTCTAATGAAAATTAGAAAAACTGACTAAGAAGCATTCATGTAAACTCAGCAACATTAATTCCAAAACTTTTTGATAAAGGATAAACCCACGATGATAAGAAATATTATGATCTAAACCTCAACTATTCCCAGGCAAACCAACTCCAGTCTAGAAACTAACATTTGCATATATCAAATCAAAGAAAAAAATCGAATATTAAAAAGGGATTGAAGAATTACCAGAAAAGAGGAATAGAGACTGACGGGGTGGTTAACGGCGGCAGGTCGATGCAGGGGTTAACGGTGGTGGTGGTCGATGCAGAGGTTGATAGCGTTGGTGGTAGGGGTCGAAGTAGAAGAGCGCCGATGGTCGATGGAAAAGAAGAAGAAAGCGAGAGGGGAGAAGAGAGAAAATAGCGGTGGTTGCGAAGAAGAGGATAACGAGAGGGATGATAGCAACGTATGTTTATTAGGTTAAGAAAAGGGTTTTATCATGGGGTTTTCTGGTAAGCTTTTTAAATAGTTCTGGATTTATAACCTGATTTAAAAGCCAACGAACATATAAAAAACATACAAGCCTTTTTGGAATTTATTATTTAAATATTATTATTATTTTTTTAAAAAATTTTGAAGTATACTTTGTTATTTTAGGGTTATGAACAATATAATTTTGATTGTTATTTTAAGGTTATATCTTGAAATATATAATTTTATTGAGTTCTAAAAAATATTAAAAAAAAAAAATAGTAACATGAACAATTTCTGTTATTTATAACAACATAGTAAGTTGTTATTTTTGCTCATTTATGTTATCAACATGTGTATTATTCAGATTTTAACCTATAAATGAATCTTAAAATTATATTATGTTCTATAGGGCATAATTATATTAAATGTCCTAACATACATACATACATCAAATATCAAAATAAATGTATATATTAATTTAAAATAATTAGTACAACAATCCAAAAAAAACTTATATCTTATTAATTTTAATAACCGCATCTGCAATTGTGAACGTTGTCTAATGTGATATTGTAATAAGTCAAAAGTAAGCAATATCCATTTGTTGAACAAATGGAAATAACAGTTTTGCTAACACCTTTAGCAAATAGAGTTGTTAAAGCATCTATAACAGTCCTTATGATTATACAAAGAATGGAATTAAAGAATATTGGTGAAGATAATAATAAATTAAAGTTTGTTAACAAATATATAGATATAATTGGAAAACATGTGTCGTGATTTTGTATTAAATAATATATATATATATATATATATATATATATATATATAATAAATGAATTAAATCCTTTTTAATAAGATTAAATCAAATGTTTGTTTCTAAATTGATAAGGATACTTGATTTTGAAAAGATTTAAAGATAATATTTACGTATTAAACGATTTAATCATAAATGTCTACATTCTATATATTGAAATATGATAAATATACATATAATTATTTTGGAAAGTGTTTATGATTGACGTTATAATTGGAATGATAATCTGCATAAATAAGAATATAATATTCATAAAAGAAATTAAAATTTGTAGAGTATGTGCTCGTGTTGACAATTATATCTTTGTTCATAAGGAAATTACCTTTAAACGTAAAACAAAATGACAATAATAGACTTCGTAAACATAGTTTGTTATTTAAACTTAAAACAAATTGATAATAATAGACTTGGTCAACATAGTTTGTTAGAAACAATAATAAAACTATTATTATAAAATTTTGTTTGTAGAATAACAAACTCTGTGGCTTACGCCAAAAACTAAAGAGATTATCTTTAAACTTAAAACAAATTGACATTAATAGACTTTGTCAGCATAATTTGTTACGAACAATAATAAAAAATTATTTTTATAAAATCTTGTTTGTAGAATAACAAACTCAGTGGCTTAAGCCAAAGATTAAGGCATGAAGAAGTAACTTTTAGGCCAAAGTCTAAGCGGTAAAGTCAAATATTGGGATTCTATTGCAGATTTGCAAAGTAGGATGATATAATGTGTATGTACTTTTAAAAAATACTTGAAATATAATTGTTATTAATGATAACATGGGACGACATTGAAAGTGAAATTATATTATGATCCATGTGGCAGAATATATTGAATACATGTTCATTTAGGAGATTGTGTGACAATAGTCAAATTTGGGTCAAGTCTAAGTCGAACAAAGTCATCAAGTCAAACCGGTCAACTCAATTAAACCTGGTATATTAGGGTTTGTGTTATGTAAATACTGTTATAACTCACTATTTTAATGAGAAAACATCACTTGGAAAATTCGTGTGTTTGATTTTCCTTAGCCTTAGTGCTAAACAATGAACAAAAATGATGAAACAATGTTGCATACTCATCGGGAGTGTGAAAGATCCTAAAACATGGCTTAATGAAGTTTACGGACCTTGCGTTGCGAAGCCGGACACTCAAAAAGGGCACAAACAAAACCTCTCTCAATCGTTTTCACTATATCTCTTTCTATTTGAAATCTCTCCCAAATATCTCTCTGTATGAGAAATCTCTCCAAGAATGTCAAATCTCTCCCAAATATCTCTCTGTATGAGAAATCTCTCCAAGAATGTCAAATTTCTCCTAAATCTCTCCAAGTATGGGAAATCTCTCCTAAATCTCTCTCAAAAGTTCCCGTAACTTTTCATAACCTTTCGGGCCATCCCGACTCTTAACCGGGTCAAAAACAACTTGAAATGGGGTTAAAACGAGTAAAATACCTTAAAAGAACCGAAAGACCCTTTATAGGGCCGAGCACCTTGGACCGAAAGCAGCAAAGAACCGAAACCCTAAGCAACCGAAACCGAGACCTGGAGTCGAGACCTGAGAACCGAAACCAGCAGCCGAGACCGAGCCTCACTGCCCCAGCCGAAACCGAGACTTGTAGCCAAAACCTGAGAACCGAGACCTGGAACCGAACCCGCCAAGAACAGAGATCGAGTCTCGGTCTTCCTTCCCCTCTTCTCTCGGTTCCTTCTTCTACTTTCGATCCTCTCTTCCCCTCTCGGTCCTCTCTTCTCCTCTCGGTCCCTCTCTTCTAATTTTGGTTCCAATGACCAGAAGGCCGAACCTCCGACCAGACTTCGGAATTTTGACATTTTTGGCCCATTTTCAATATTTTTCACATTTTGAGCCCGTTTTTCGAGATTTTAACGCGGGATTTTCTCACAAACTCATATTTTAACATAATAAACCCTAAATATTCATAATTTAATCATATTTTCATGAAAATCCTTATTTAAATAATAAAATCTAGTGGGTGAATAATTGAGGTGGAGTGTTGACTTTATTTTACCTTATGACACAAGCAACCACCCCCATACCCACTCTATGACCAGCCACACCTTCTCACCTTACCTAGGTCATTTCAATGTCCTTTCCCACTCAATTTTCAGCCTCTCCCACGTTCTTAGAGCTGAAACAACCCATCACCTCTCCTCACTTCTTTCATTTTATCTCATTTCACCAAAGATACAACACAACTTTTCTCTCAAACTTTATCTCTCTGTTTCAAGACTCCAAGGCTGATCTTTAAGCTTTATCCTCCCCTTGGTAAGTATAATTCATCCTCCTTGTGATTATTGCACTTCATTCTACTCAAATCATTGATTGCTTACACAAACTCCATCACTTCGATGTTAGTTTCTCGAAAATCTTCAAGGCATCTTCAAGTGTTCTTGAGTTGATCACTTCCAATTTTCAACAATCATCTACTGAAATCACATAAGGTGAGTTCATAGCCCTACATTTTCATATTTTCTTATGTTTTAAGGGGGAGAAAACAAGTCAAATCATCAAGAACACAGCTAAATATTTCTAACAGCTTACATCAGAAAAGTTGGACTCCATTCACGGACTGTTTTGGTCAACTAAAACATTTTTGTTTTCAAAACTGTACAAGGTGCAAGTAGATCAAGTTCTTATCTTTAAAATGACTACTTTCACATCTCCATACGATTTTTCTACAATTTATGGTGATTTTTGCAAAACTGCCTATCATTTCAAGAACCAAACCGGACCAGTCTGTGTTTATGGATGTTTTTACTTAAGTTGGAGGTCACTAAAAATCATGGAAAAATTTATGAACAAACTAGAATCATTAACCAAACTCTCAGAATTTACTGATTCTGATTTGGATCTTTTATTAAGTTTTTATAAATTTTCTAATAACAGTGATCGAAGCTGTTACAAACAGAAAAATGCTAACATATTATTATCACCTTGTATCATGTTGAGCAAGGTATATATCCTTATGTGAATGTATGTTATTACAAAAGAAGGATATTTTATCTTGTATATGAACATGCAACAATTAATAAATGGATTTTGATATAGATATACATATGAAATATAAAGGACAACACAATTATTATAAACAAAGTACATCCATTTTACTCAAACAAATGAACGAACTACGTTGAATATAGATTACGTACGTTACCATTACTACCCTTATTTTTGATAAACTATAATAGGTATGGTTTATGATACACTACATAACACACTCATACAAGAATTGTACATTTATACGATAAGGGATTTTCATTACGTTACATGTAAATTCGTTAAGAACTTTGTGAGACATTCGCTTCACACTTACCATTAAGTCCTGTATTGTAACCAGAGTCTCCTGAAGGGAGAGCGTGATAGTTGTATATAGATCTATATTGGGTTTGACAACCCCACACCTTAACTGCATGCAACAGTTAGACCGGCATGTCTGGGGTGACAAATGTCATAAACAGTTCCGACGCTTGAAGAACGTCGTTTCAGGCCAACTAGGTCATAGCATGGTTATAATAATCTCACAGAAAGTATTAACAAACATAAGAATTTACGGGAATTTCATTTAATTCAAGCGTGTTTATGTCGATTTAAACACATATCATTTTCTATTAGTAAGATGGTTACTTATACATTTTGGTCTTCGGTTATAAGACTACATTACACAGATTTTAAGGAAAATATCAGATTTTTCTGAAACAAACGTGACATTTACAAGAGAAAGACTTTTATCAAGTTCGAAAACAAAAACTTATGAACTCACCAACCTTTGTGTTGACACTTTTCCAAACAACTTGTATTCTCAGGTAATCACTAAACAGGTACCAAAGTGCATTTTAAGGATGGGACATTAAGGCGTCTACATATCATGTTTTTGTTAACATATTGTAATTGATTTGGAAACATGTAACTCATACACTGATGTAAAATTTTCAATTATATATATGTTGGTTGTGTTTGCTTAAATTACTATTGCAATTGTGGTTATGATACTATACATGAAGTCCTCCACCCCCGGACGTTTCCGCCATCCTTGGTTTGGGGGTGTGACAGATTGGTATGAGAGCACAGTTTATAGTGAATTAAGTATGTCAAACCACATAAGATATACAAACTATAAACACATTTAGTACTAAAAGTCTCTAATTCTTAAAACACTTTAACGGGTTGTACTTATAGAAAACGAATAGCTTCTTGTTTAAAAGTATACCTACATGCATTATATACTCGCGTAGTGTCATAACTAAGGAGAACATAAGGTGAAAGAGGAGGAGTTGAACACTACGAGTATGCCTTAGCATGTGTAATCAGTTCTGGGAAGGATATAGACTGATCAACTATATCCGTCCGAGAAGTGACTTACGCATACGGGGATAGTCGTAATGGGCGACAAATCTAATAACCTAACTACACTCTACAAAGAATACTCTAAGAACCAAATATAAACATTTAAAATACTATAGGATTATTTGTACATTGCTATAGCACCATGTTATTATTATTATCCGATATGTGCTTCTTACCCCCCCCCCCCCCGGTTTCTCGTGCAGACGACATGGCAGGATTTCACGTACCCGGGAACCCGTACATTCCCAATCAGGGAAAT